AGGAAAAACTTGGAGAGAGCAGGTCTTCTACAGGTCACCTCTGTAGTAGTGTGCTATGGGTCATCCCTTGGGTGGGGTGCACACCTCGAGCTAAAGCCCAGCTGTTGGCAGACAGAAACTGATTGTAAGCCTGTCTTGGAGGACTGAGCCAGGTGCGAAGCATAATTAGCTGGCTGGCTCCACAGGAGTTAAGAGGCTCCCAGAACCAGAGGGGAAGGGGAGGAACGGAGCTGAGAGCCAGGGCCGGACACAGGCATGGGCAAATCAGGTGGCTGCCTAGGGCCCAGACAGAAAGGGGGCTCGAAAATGTTTTTTTTTTCTGTTGTCCAGTTATCATTATTATTATCATTATCTCTGGTGAAGGGAGGCCCAATACTAAAAGTTTGCCCAGGGCTGCCAGGAGTCTAGATATGCTGCTGCTGAGAGCTGAGGGGGCTGAGAGACACTGAGAGACTGGAAGTTGACCAAGAGACTGGGTGCTGGAATAGAACTGATAGAGAAGGAAGAGAAGAGGCAAGCTGTGGCACATCCAAGCCTAGAGTTTCTCTTTGGGTCTGGGAAGAGACCCCCTGCAGTTCATATGTTTGTTTTACTAATTGTTTGGGTTAATTCCTGCAGGGAAGGAGTTTGCCCCACAGGGACAATAAACAAAGAAGATAAACAAACACTGAGAGACAGTTTTGAGCTAAGCACATCCTCAACCCTCTACAATCCCTTACTTCCAAAGTATGGAGTAGCTTCAGATTTGGACCCACACTGTTCAATTTCTTTATCAGTGATTTGGACGACGGGGTGAAAAGCAACCTGTTTAAATTTGCTGATGATACCAAAATTTGGGGTGAGGTGGGCATGCAACCCAGATAGGTTGCAAGGGTGGGCTAACAAAAACAGGATGCGTTTCAATACTGACAAGTGCAGGGTGCTGCACTTGGGCAGTAGTAACCAGCAGCACACTTATAAGATGTGAAACTCCCTTCTTGAGAGCATGGAGGCAGAAAGGGATCTTGGAGTCATTATTGACTCCAAGATGAACATGGGCCGACAATGCGAGGTCACGGTCAGCAGGGCCAACCAGACCCTATCATGCATCCACAGGTGCATCTCAAGTAGGGCCAAGGAGGTGATCCTCCCCCTCTACGCGACACTGGTCAGGCCACAGCTGGAGTACTGTGTCCAGTTCTGGGCACCCCACTTCAAGAGGGATGTGGACAACATTGAGAGGGTCCAGAGGAGGGCCACCTGCATGATCCGGGGACAACAGGGCAGACCCTACGATGAGAGGCTACGGGACCTGAACCTGTTCAGCCTTCACAAGAGAAGGGGGTCACCAGGTAAACTCACTAGGGGGGACCAGAAGGGTTTGGGGGAGACCTTGTTTCCCCTAGCACCCCCTGGGATAACAAGGAATAACAGCCACAAGTTGTTGGAGAGTAGGTTTAGATTAGACATCCGTAAGAACTACTTCACAGTTAGGGCGGCTAGGATCTGGAACCAACTTCCAAGGGAAGTGGTGCTGGCTCCTACCCTGGGGGTCTTTAAGAAGAGGCTTGATGCCTACCTGGCTGGGGTCATTTGAGCCCAGTTTTCCTTCTGCCCAGGCAGGGGGTCGGACTTGAAGATCTACAAGGTCCCTTCCGACCCTACTTCTATGATTCTATATGATCCATTGCTCTCAGCCTCACAGTATCTGGTATAATCTCTGATTTGAAAGAAATCCTTAGACTCAGAGGATCTGGGGGGGAAAAATCTAAGTGCTTTGGTCCTAGGAAGTTCCATTGATTCTGGGTCCACAGAATCCAACTAATATCTACAATTCAGAAAATTCCAGTAACCCTCTGACTAATTGGGGTCCAATTTTGAGGTCTTGTTTAGTGCCTATACCAACCTGCTGACACTACACCATTCCAGCTTTCAGCTCTTTGATATGATGGTGTGGACAAAGTACAGAGGAATGGCCCAGGCATGTGCTTCAGCTTCTTGAACAATCATTGAAAGACCATTGCAAATATTATACAAGGTTTGCTGCTACTCTAGGTTGTGCCAGGAGTTGGAGGGGCCCTGAGCTGGCTGCAGAAACAAGAAGATATAAACATTGCTTTAAACTCGCTTTTGTATTCTGGCAAGACCCAAGAAGTGGGCCCATAGAATATAACAAAAGATACAACTTCCTTAGATTTAAGCAAATCCTGTCACTGTTGGATCCATACTGGTAGAAAACAATTGAAACCAAACTTTGACACAGAATCTTTACCAGATCCTGAGAACTAATACATATTACTAAATACTTATGTATGGCTTATGGAAGAAGGAGCAGATAAAAATCACCCAAGCACCTGCCTGAAATTGTGGAGTAGGGGGTGTCATATATATAGATACAGCCCACAGAGCTTCTCAAACCATCCCACTGCACTACAGGTAGGCACCGGAAGTTGGTGGGTGTGGCCTGTCACAGAATCCAGGGTCCTTTGGCTTTGCTGCGCATGGCTCTCTACCACCACCCCTGAACTTGCTTCAGACCCACCGCTGGTGCCATTATGGCAATCCTCCTGCCTCTGGCTGGATCTAGATCACAAGGAGCCCTCAGTACATATCCAGCCTGAGGCCTGAGTCTGACAGCTATATCTTAGAGGGCCTGGCTGCTCTATTTATGGAAAAGGGATACAAAGACTTGTTATCCTGGTGGAGGCATTAACTTTTACTATAGGAAAGCTAAGGCCTAAAGAGTCTCCTAGTGCCAAATGACTGAAATCCATGTCAATCCTCATGGGAACCCATTTCAAAGCAGCTGATTATGACAAGAGGAGAGTAGAGAAGGTTTCAGTTTTGCAGTGGGACCTCGTAAAGGCAAATCACATTGTAGAATAAATTAATATTCCAGTTATATATTACAACACTCTGGTTACAGATATAAAATTTATTTGTATACCATAAATATGCAGTCCCTGGCCTCAAAAATAGATACTGGGTGAGATTTAGGCCTATACAGTAAATAAAAATGAGTATCTGCAGTTTAAAAAAAATGAGAGCGAGAAAGAAAGAATTACCTGGCAAGGTTTTTTCATTTTAATTGCTATAACATGGTATCTGTAACAGCACAGCTCACAGGTCCATGACCCTCTTTCGCTTATCCACTTTAATAAGCAAAGTTGATGTGTGTACCGTACTGACCCATCGCAGCGGCAGGGATTTAACAGTTCTCCCTGAAAAGAGAGCAAGTTCAACTAAATTGCACAGGGACCTTTTGACTTTTCTGCTAGTGTCTCATTTCCAACTGTGGAACAACAAGTTAGTTTCCAAGTCAATATCCCCCAACATCATCACCACCATCATCATCATCATAAATAAATAAATAAAGAGCTGCTGTTAAAATAGTTGTATTTAGCATTTAAATAATCCATGATGATTAAAAAAATTGGATGCATTTACTGTGTGCCAGTGCCTGCCCCCATCCCACTCCTGAGCTGTCTAATAACTTGCAAGCAGATGGGCAGGTGCTTTCCCTCTGCAGTGATGCTTAACAGAGCTCTCCTCTCTCATCCTGCAGCCTACTCTCTGCCCTGGGGAAAAACCTGCAACTTTTGTGGGGGGATCTGTGGTTCAAGGACTGGATTCTTAAGTCACAGAATCACAGAAAATGAGGGTTAGAAGGGACCTCAGGAGGTCACATGTAGTCCAACTTCCTGCTCAAAGCAAGACCCTCCCCAACTAGATCATCCCAGCCAAAGTTTTGTCTATCTGGGTCTTAAAAACCTCCAAGGATGAAGATCCCACCACCTCTCTGGGTCCCCTGTTCCTCTCCTCCTGAGCGTTTTTCCCCATATCCAACCAAAACTTCCCTGGCTGCAACTTGAGACCATTGCTCCTCCTTCTGTTGTCTGCCACCACTGAGAATAGCCCCCTGCACGGAGGAAGTCCCCCAACCATGATGGGGATTGCCCTGGTTTTGGATTGAAGCTGAGAAACACACCAGGGCAGCCAGGGGCCAGCTTTTGAACACCCTCTGTGGTCACACCCTGCCCTTGGCAGCAGCATGTGGTTTTTCCACTCTCAGGAAAGCCAAACATTCTCTGTCCTCAAGGCACCAGAACTGGTGGCAGAGGTGATCTCTTTTATTGGACCCACTAGAGATCTGCAAATAAGAGTTGGTCTAATAAATATGATTGCAGTTGGTCTAATAAATATGATTATGAGTTGGTCTAATAAAAGAAGTCTAGTGGATCTAACAAAAGTGATCGCTGCTGCCACCAGTTCTGATGCCTTTTGCCTCGAGACCGAGTCGGCTGCAGTCTGGATACCCAGTCCTCAAGGACACCTGGGGCCCGCGAGAGAGTGACACAGAGGGAGGGTTTCGGCCCAGGGCTTGGGGGCCCCTTCTTCCCTCGCTTTCATCATCATTGCGGTACGGGGCCCTGCTCGGGTCTGGGGGGCCCCAGCAGCCGGGGTCGCTGAGCCTCCCGGGGCCGCGGGGCAGGGAGGGGACCCAGGCGCCCGGGCTGCCCTCCACCAGCGCTGCGGCGGCGGCGGCGGC